TTTCTTTTTTTTTTTTTTTCTTCCTTTCTTTTCTTTCTTTCCTTTGCGTTTCTTCTGCTTGTGTTATCAGAGGATGATGCTTTTATTGACAAACTGCCCGCGTTTGAAAGGCGCAGTGAAACGCCGGCAGGTACTGTACTAGCAGGGAAATTTCCAAGATTTTCCAAAGAAATCCGCCTTCGGAGCGGCACCCACCGCTCGCAGCACCTTGCATGACAGTTTCTCAGTGACTCAAAGGACTTGGAGGTGGAAGGTTGGCACCTCCCGAATTCCAAAAGGTTCATCTGACAGCTCGAAAAGCTGTTTTCCCCCCACTCACACCCCCCCGATCCCGAGTTATTCCAGCGTGGCGGCTTTGGAGGCGGTGGGAGCGCAGGGTTGCGATGGGAAGGGGAGGACTCCAGCTAGGATCCGCTGCTCTGTGTGTGTGTGTGTGTGTGTCCGGTTCTCTGCAAGTGTCGTGTCCTGAGATGCGAGTGCGAACGTGTCACTGTCCCTGAGTGTCACCGCGGGGTGGCACCCGGAGCAGCATCCCGCCGGGAATGCTGAGGAGCGCAGGCACAACCCGCCAGCAGCCGACAAACCTCTTCTACCGCGGCCAAAAAACCAAAACCCCTCCAAAGCGCTCAGCCAGCGGGCAGAACGACTCTTCCATCTGGGCTTCCATAGCTTTGCTTCCCGCTTTGCGTCCCGAGCCAGCGGCCGGTGTCACATCCCTGTCCCTGCACGTGTGACCGCCCCGCAGCGCCTCGCCCCCTCCCCGTAGCGACATTAATGACCTGCTCTGTGACTCACACTGTGTCCTTCTCTCTCCCTCTCCTTAACCTTTCCCATCCCGCTTCAACTCCTGGCCATACAGAGAATGAACAGCCTTCCCTCGTTTGGTTTGACAGAGGAAAGTTTTATTTGACTTTCGAAGGTAAGTAGTGCAAAGCACAGCCGGTAACCGCTCGCTCCCCTCGCTCTCTCGCTCCCGGGGTTCCCTTCCGAGGCTCCATCCAATCCAGCTTTCCAGGCTCCATCCAATCCAGCTTCCCGTGAGGAATGCTATGCCCGCTCGGATGGCATCGCCGGTCCCACCGGAATCGCTTTTGGTTTGATTTGTGCCATTTGTTCCGCTGATCTCTTTTTTATTTTTACTCGTTGATTTACTTTGCCAAAAAAAAAAAAAAACAAACCAAACCAACCAACCAAAAAAATAATCCGACCCAAGCAAACAAAAAAAAAACCCAAAGGAACATTCCGAATATTCCCAGACGGAGGTGAAAACCAGGGAGCGGAGCCGCTTGCACTGCCGAGGAACTTGACTCTGCCAACCAGGACTTCTCCCCCTCTCGCTCCCCGGAGCGGGCTGGGTGCGGTCGATCCAAACCCAAAGGGTGTCGGATCCCCTCCTCCCATCCCAGATTTCGGCAGGAAAGGCTCCGGGAATGCGCTGGCAGCTCCGGCACCACCCGGGAGCCGCTGCCAGGTTGTGCTGCTGGGGCGCTCGCTCGGAAGTGCCGGAGGGTTTTGGGTCCCTCGTGGATGAGGGGCTTTGGGGAGGATGCAGGCAGGGGAAAACCTCGGTTTGGGGCCCATGGCACCTTCTCCGAGCAGTGTCACATCCCAGAGGGACAGAGCGGGAGCGGCCGGTCCTGCCGGGAGAGCCCCGAGGCTTTGGGGAGCTCCATCCCGCAGGCACCGAGCCAGCATTTCCCTTGGAACAGCGGGAGGAAAAGCGGGAGGAAAAGCAGGAGTTTTGCTCGCAGAGGGGAGGGATTCCCGCAAATCCCCAGGGAGCGCCTGGAAGTGGCTGTGGAGCCCGCGGGCCGAGCTGGGGGGTGACTCCGTGTGGCATTCCCAAAGTGTCCCCTCCTGCAAAGGAGTGGCCCAGGGTGGCACTGCCTGGCTGGGGACACCAGGGTGGCACTGCCCATTTGGGGACACCAGGGTGCCTGGCTGGAGATGAAAGGAGTGGCCCGGGGTGGCACTGCCCCGCTGGGGACACCAGGGTGGCACTGCCCCGCTGGGGGTGACAGGAATGGCCTGGGATGGCACTGCCCGGCATGGGCTGCTCGGGTCACGGAGCAAACCCGTCCTGGTGACTGTGATGGCTGAGCAGCAGCAGAAGGCAGGGATCAAGCACCAGGGCTCCTTAATTTCCTCCTTTTTCCTTGACCCCAAGGTCCCCACTCCAACAATTCCCACTTCGCTGTCCTCACTCCAGCAGACCCAGGAGCTGCTCCCTCCTGGTGCCCAAATCCCCGTTTGGGTTTCCTTTCTCAGGAAAGCTCTGTTGGGAGCTCTGGGAAGAGCTGAGCACAGCAGGGACAGCGTTTTCCCTCAGCAGGAATATTCCAGCTCCACATTCTGCTCCGTGTCTCCTTCCTGCCCCTCGCTCAGCCCAGCGGCAGCGCTGCGCATTTGGGGCTTCTCTCGTGCCTCGGAATCTGAACCTTGGATTGGAATTCTTGGAGCTGGTTCTGGTGGTGTGAATGGTCTGGAGCACGGGGTGGGATTATCCCGGGAATGCAGGAGTGTGGCACTGCCTCCAGGATCATCCCACAGCTCAGCAAGGAGCTGTCTCGCTTCCACATGAAAGTTTATCTCTAAATATTTAATATCTCTAACTTCCCAGTTTATCTCTAAATATTTAATCCCAGCTCGATAAATAAAAAAAAAGATAAACTTGATGTGCAGGGAAGCGAGAGGAAATGGGCTGAGTTTGGTGTCTGGAACTCAGGGCATGGAATGCCAGAAGGGAAATGATGTTTTCTTTCTGCATTTGGGAGTTTTTTTTGTGGCAAGATCCATGTGCTTGATGAGCACGGGGCAGTTTGTCCTGTGTGGAAGGAGCTGTGGCGATGCTGTCGTGCAGAATCATGTTCTAGGACCCCCTGGCTACTCCACTGCTGCATTTTCCACTTCTTGCAGGGAAAAACAAGGCAAGTTAGGCTGATCTGCTGCTTATGGTTGGATCCAAAGCTCCATAAAGTGGATTTTTTTTCCTCTCTCTGTTATTATCAGGTCGTTTGTGCAAATGAAATGTTTATAAGAATGGCTTTTGAAGCAGGAGCTGGCAAGGCAGGTTTGGGGTGGAGTTGTGCCACAGCGACTGGGTTTGTCTCTCAGGTTTCTGGACAATAATTGCAATGCTTATAATAGTTTATACATTTATTTTTTTAGTGAAAAACCTGAGCATAAAAATGAATTCATTCTCTGGAGCCGTGAAGGGAAGGATTTATGGATTCTTGAGGGAAGAGTGGAGGGAACTGAGCACCCCAATTCCACCCACATGGTGTTCAGACCATCAGAAATGAGGATGTTCTGTTGCTGTTGGACTCACATTCCCACACCCCAGCTGAGCCTGGGGATCCGTGAGATCTCCCTGCTCACTCCTGATTCTTCACTCTGGAGAATCAAGGATGCAGAGGAAGAAGCAGAGATGAAAAACGAGGAGTGTGGTGGTGTGGGAGAGCCCTGCCCCACATTCCATGCCCTGCCACAGGCTCCAGGCTAAACCCAGCTGGGATTTGTGCATTTGGGAGTTGGGTCTTTCCTTCTCCAAGGAACGATGATCCCATTGCCAAGCCCTTCCCTACGAGGCTCCTCTGCTGGTTGATGGCCCCGGGTTCCCCCTCCACATCCAGACTTTGAAGATGTTTTTCCATCTGTATTTCTGGGTGGATGCAGTGGGAATATCCCGGGTTTGGTGCTCTGAGGGGTCTGGAGCTCTGGGAGGGGAGTAAGAATTTGCTGCCAGTGGTGTCTTTGGAACGTGGTGTCCCCCGTGCTGCACGTCCCCTCAGCCATGGGGGTCTGGGGTGTCCCGCGGTTCTGGGTCTCGTGCCCTCACCTGGAGCTGTGTCTGTTCTTCAGAGGGAATTCCACCAGGGAATATCCTGGGCTGTGGCCTCAGGAGGCTCTGGGCTCGTTAGGATAATGAATGTGTGTGTGACACGGGTCTGGTGTGTGTGGGTGAGGTGTTCCATCCCGGAACAGCCGGATACACTCCCTGAGCATCCCCATCCCGGGCTGCAGCTGGAATCTCTGATTCCCCTGAGCCTCTTGGGATGTGTGACACCTGGGGCTGCTCCCATTTTTTACACTTTTAGACCTTGGAAGGGAAAATCCCTCATCTGCACCTCGAGGAAGGAGCACTGGGATTTATCCATTAACGCTCTTGGAAAGGTGTGAGGATCCCTCCTTGCCGGTGGAAACCATCATTTCTCCCGTTAAAATACCCAAAGCGTAATTGAAGTGACACAAGTGCTTCCCCCAGGAGATGTGGCAAATCCCAATTCCCTGCCCCCAAACCCCTGTTAGTCCCAGGGTGCAGCAACGGGAAGCAGCAGGGAAAGAAGGGAAAGGATCATTTTTGAGGATGGCCCAAGGAGAGGAGGTCCCCAGGAAGGTGACACCTTTTGCTCAGCTTTGCTTGGGCAAATATCCCGATATCCCCTTATCCTCTCTGCCTGGGCAGGTGCTGCCCTTCCCAGGGCTGGCGTTGGAATTCCTACGGCTTTGGAATTCCGACGGCTCTGGCTGGAGCTGGCAGGAGCTCGCACACTCCGGGAAAACCTCGGGCTGGATCCATCCCTTCTCCCAGCCTGGCAGCGATGGTGATGGAGCAAGGCGGCCCCTGGACGAGCTGCCCCTCTGGAGTCCTTTGCTGTTCTTTTTTAGCTGCTTTGGGGTGAAACAATCCTCGTGCTTCACCCGCTCTGCAGGACGGGGGGATCAAAAAAAGGCTCCAGAATGGGGCATGGCAGGGAATAGGTGAGGCTGAAGGGCGGTGCCAGGGCAGGGGATGATCTCTCCAGGGGTTTTTGGGTGTCTGTGGAATCCTTGGACATCTTTGGGTACTTTCCATGAGGAAGAGGGCGGTGGGCACCACCTTGGTGCTGGGCACGGGACTCGTGGTCCCAGGGAGGGTTTCCAGCACACCTGGAGCTCCTGCGGAGCCCTGCGGTGACGATTTCATCCTCAAACTTTGTCTTTTGGAAACAACAACTCCTGGCCAGCAAAGGGAAACCTGTGTGTGATCCTGCAGGGCTGAACTACTTTAGAGCCTGGCAAGTGTCCGTGGATGCACAGCACCACCGAGGCAAACTTTTCCACTGGAATCCACATGATTCCAAATCATGGAATCCTAGAACGGTTGGGTTTGGAAAGAACCTGAAATCTCGGCTTCTTCCAGCTTGTTCCAGCTTCCACCATCCCAGCTGGCTCCTGTCCAAGCTGGGCACTTCCAGGGATCCAGGGGCAGCCACAGTTTCTCTGGACACCCTGTGCCAGTGGCTCTGTTTTCCCAGGTTTCCGACGATCCGCAGATTTCGGGCGCTGAGGTTTCCGCGGAGCGAGCGGGGCGCGGAGCTGGCAGGAGAGGAGAGCAGAGGGTGCCGGGGATTGCAGGACCCCCTCAGCTCGGGGCGGGGGACATCAGGGGGCCGCTGCCACCACCCCGATCCCCAGGGGCAGCCTGAGCCCCCCGGCTGTGCCACAGGGAACCCCCCCAGCCCCTTTTTGCGGGGCCCAAAAAGCGACTGCAAAAACTGTCATGCAAAGGCTGCCGTGCGTGGCAGCCCCCGCATGCTGCTCCCGCCTGGCCACCTCCATCCATCCTTTTCTTTGCTTGCTTTTGGCAGCGGGGGCGGGCGTTGGGCGGCGTGTTGGGGAGGGGAAATAAGATCATTTTTTTGTGAAAAGCCTCATCCAAAGCTTGGGGGATTTTTAAATTTTTTTTTTGGTGATTTGCCCATCGAGTCAGGCTGGGGGGCCGGGCAGCGGGGCCCGGCAGGTGCCAAGGGGACATCTCTGCTCTGTTGCAGGCTCATCACGAGGCCCCAGCCCCCTGACCATGGGGGCACAGGACACGCTGCCCGTGGCCGCGGCCTTCACCGAAACCGTCAACGCCTACTTCAAAGGCGCTGACCCCAACAAGTAGGTGCTGACCCCCGGTTTTGGGGTGTCCCTGGGTGGGTTTTGGGGCTTGGAGGGGGACGGGAGGTGGTGGGGTGTGCGGGGGCTGCCGTGGTGCCCCGTGTGAAGGTGTTTCTGCTGGGGGAAAGGAAAGTGAGGAGTTTGTGTGAGGAATCCGAGGGTGTGGGCGCGATTTTCTGAGCCTGAGAGAGTTCCAGCCTCTCAGTGGCTGATCTGTTTCCCAAGGGAAAACCTTTTGGGAAACTTTTCTCTCTCAAGGACTGTTTTGTAAATAAGATTTTAGTTCTCAATACAAAGACAGATGTTCTGAGATGTTTTTTCTCTTGTCCCAGCAGCAGGATGAGGGAGGTGTTGTTCCTTGTACCGATCGGGTTAACCTGTATCAGAACACCTCATAAAAAGGCTTGAAAACCCTGAAATAAAGGCTTTTCTCCTCCTGAGGAAATAAAACCTCGGGTGCTGTGATATGAAACCTCACTTCCCACTTTGTGGGACGACACGGGGGCTGCAACCTTCCCCTCCCATGCCAAAACAGGATGGCATTCCAGCAGAAACTTGGAAAGCTTTCCCACCTGTGCTTTTAGACCCTCTAAAAGATAAAACCCAAAAGGGCAGACCGAGGACAAATTAATTTCACCAAAACACTGAATAACAGCAAAAAATAAGAAGCTTTAAACAGGGCAGCGATATTTAAGAGGATCCCTGTCAGCCCTTGTGCTGTTTCTGCTCTCTCTGAGGCCAGCAGAGCGCGGGGTGGGGAGGGGGGACTGTCCCCACACCATCCATGGTGCTTTCCCTCCGTCTCTGCTGCATTTTGAGCCCCCTTTGCCCGCCCTGGCTCTGCTCTGGGCGCTGCAGGTGCATCGTGAAGATCACGGGGGAGATGGTGCTGTCCTTCCCGGCGGGCATCACCCGACACTTTGCCAACAACCCCGCTCCGGCCGTGCTCACCTTCCGCGTGCTCAACTTCAACAGGCTGGAGCACGTCCTGCCAAACCCCCAGCTCCTCTGCTGGTAAGTCTTTCCCTCAGCAGCTCCCCCGGGGAATGCGGGATTCCAGGAAATCTGGGTGTTTGCAAGAGTGCGTGGCCTGAGGTATCTTCCTTGGAAGGGGATGTTGGGAATGAAACCCTCAAACCCTTAAATGCCTGGTAAAATCCCAGAGTGGTTCAGGTTGGGAGATCATCAGGATTATTCTGATAGATATCAGGATTATCCCATGGGCAGGGACACCACCCAGGCTGCTCCGAACCCATCCAGCCTGGCCTTGGGCACTGCCAGGGATCCAGGGACAGCCCCAGCTGCTCTGGGAATTCTATCCCAGGGCCTGCCCACCCTGCCAGGGAACAATTCCTGCAATCCCAAGATCCCATCCAGCCCTGCCCTCTGGCACTGGCAGCCATTCCCTGTGTCCTGTCCCTCCATCCCTTGTCCCCAGTCCCTCTCCAGCTCTCCTGGAGCCCCTTCAGGCCCTGCAAGGGGCTCTGAGCTCTCCCTGGAGCTTCTCCTCTCCAGGCTGGGCATTCCCAGCTCTCCCAGCCTGGCTCCAGAGGGGCTCCAGCCCTGGAGCAGCTCCTGGGCCCCCTCTGGGCTCTGCATCCTCCTGATGTGGGGCTGGGGCAGCTCTGCAGGTGCAGCCTCACCTGAGCGGGGCAGAATCCCCCCCTTTCCTGCTGCCCTCACTGGGGGATCAGCCCAGGACTTGGGGGGCTCTGAGTCACAGTGCAGATGGATCAGGAGAAGCTGGAGTTGTGTGGGAGGGAGCCAATAGAACACAGAATATAGAATGTATAATGTGTAATGTATAATACATAATATATGACATATAATATATAATGTATTATGTATAAAGTATAATGCATCATGTACAATCTATATTAAAATTATAATTATAATATATATAATAATGTATAATATATATTATATAATATAAAATTATAATATATATTATTTAATAGATAATTATATGTTTTATATAATATTTTATCTATACTATACTATACCATACTGTGCTATATTATACTATAATAATATAATATACTATACTAATATAATATAATATAATATAATATAATATAATATAATATAATATAATATAATATAATATAATATAATATAATATAATATAATATAATATAATATAATATAATATAATATAATATAATATAATATAATATAATATAATATAATATAATGTAAAATACATATAATAATATCTAGAGGCAGGACTGAGTGCAGCCCCTGTGCTGTGCAGAGCAGCTCTCTCCTGGCCAGGCAGGTTATCCCAAGGCTTCCTTCTCCTCTGTGCAGTGACAACGTGCAGAGCGACTCCAACTCCAAGGAGTTCTGGGTCAACATGCCAAATCTGATGACTCACCTAAAGAAGGTATCGGAACAGAAACCTCAAGCCACCTATTACAATGTGGATATGCTCAAATACCAGGTAGGGGTTTCTTTTGTGAGATAAAACTGTGCCCCCAAAATTAAAATAAATAAAAATTAAAAACTTGTGCTGATTATGGCTGTAAAAAATGGTGTTTCCCTAGTGCAGAGTGGAGCTAATGTGAGGTGGGGGCTTGGTGTCCCACTGTCCCCTCTGTGTGGCTCTGGGTTGTCTGGCTTTAAGCCCAGTACTAAATGCAGCGGGAATTCAAGGTCTTGCCTCCGAATGCGATGTCCGCGTCTGTAAAATGGGATTTCTCCCTTCAGCCCTACGGAAACTAAATGTTTTTTCTGTCATTTTGGAAGGTATCTGCCCAGGGTATTCAGTCTACTCCATTAAACCTTGCAGTGAGCTGGCGCTGTGACCCTGCAAGCACTGACCTGCGCATCGACTACAAATACAATACAGAGGCAATGACCACACCGGTAGCTCTAAACAACGTCCAGTTCCTCGTCCCCGTCGACGGAGGAGTAACCAAACTTCAAGCTGTGCTTCCTCCTGCTGTCTGGTAGGGATTGCTCATCCTGGCCCCTCCTGGAATTCCCATCCTGCTGCAGGAGGGTCTGTGGGTGGGAGCTGGGGGCACACTGGGAACCCAAATATTTGACCGCATTCCCATTCCCTTTCTCTTGGCATTCCCACAAGGAAATGGTCAGAGATGAAGGGATGTGTGCAGTTAGCAGAGCATCAGCCCTTATCTTGTGTTTTGGATGCTTTATCCAGGGTTTAGAGGGACGCACAGCCAGGCCCTGGCACAGGGAGCTCAGAGCAGCTGTGGCTGCCCCTGGATACGGCTTGGAGCAGCCTGGGATAGTGGGAGGCGTCCCTGCCCTGGCAGGGAGTGGGACTGGATGAGATTTAAGATCCCTTCCAACCAAAACACTCTGTGATTCTGTGGAATTCTGGGATTTTGTCGCTGCCCTAGGCACTGGCACATTTCCACGTCTCTTGTCCATTGCTCACCTGCAACCCTCATAACAATCATACAATTATTTCCTTTGGAAAAGCCTTCTAGCCCATCCATGAGCCCAGCACAGTGAAACCCAAATCCAAGCTCCCAAAATTTCCAGAGCAGCTCCCCCCAGCCAAACCCAGCCTTTAGCAAAATTCCAATTACTCCTTGGCAATGTCTTGATTCCTACAGAAACGCTCTTCTCCGTGTGTTTGCAGGAATGCCGAACAGCAAAGGATATTGTGGAAGATCCCCGATATCTCCCAGAAGTCAGAAAACGGAGGTAATCCTGCAAATCCTCACATCATTAATTCAGAACCCTTCAGTCAGACACCGACCCGCCGACGCTGCCGGCACGCAGGCCCAGAGCCCCGGATTCCTGCCGGGGCTCACTGGGGACAAAACTATTTCATTTTGGAGCTTAAAAATCAGGGCTGTGTGCCACCAGCGCTGCTCTGCCAACCAGCCTGGCATCCCGAGGGGCATTCCCACGCCGGGCCGGGATGCGCTGGTTTGCCAAGCCCTTGGCTCCCGGTATTGAGGCCCAGTTTGCATCCCTGGATTGTTGTCTCCCATCAGAGCTTTTCCATGCGGAAAGCCATTCCTAGAGCTGGGATGTGTGGAAAGCGGGATGGTGCTGGGAGGATGAGGTGGTTTGGGATGCGCCCCACTCCATTCCTAGCACTGGGATGCGTGGAAAGCGGGATGGTGCTGGGAGGATGAGGTGGTTTGGGATGCGCCCTGCTCTGCACCGGCACTGGGATGCTCCGAGCGCCGCTCCCGCTCACGGGGGTCTCTTTGGGGTTTCCATCGCAGGTGTGGGGTCGCTGCTGGCGCGGTTCCAGCTGTCGGAGGGGCCCAGTTCGCCGGCCCCGCTGGCCGTGCAGTTCACCAGCGAGGGCAGCACCTTGTCCAGCTGTGACATCGAGCTGGTGGGCGCCGGCTACCGCTTCTCCCTCATCAAGAAGAGGTTCGCGGCAGGTGGGTGCCGCGGCTCCTTCGGGATGGTCCCCGCAGGTCCCTGCCATGCTGGGAATGCTGCTGACAGGGGTTTGGTGCATGCTCAAGGCCACAGCTGCTGCTGCAGGGTGGGGACAGAGGGACAGCATGAAATAAATCCTGCTGCCGCTTCCCAGCCTCGCGTTTCGTGGCTCATTCCTGCTCCCGTGTGAAAGGAGAGGGCTGAGATCTCCAGGGCATCTCCTGCAAGAGCTTTGGCCCCGTTGCTGCAGGGAATAATGGGGATTATTCCTGATGTTCATTGCTGCAGAGAATAACAGGATTTTTCCTGGTGTTCATTGCTGCAGGGAATAACAGGAATTTTCCTTCATGTTCATTGCTGCAGGGAATAATGGGAATTTTTCCTTGTGTGCATAGCTGCAGGGAATAACTGGGATTTTTCCTCATGTTCACTGCTGCAGGGAATAATGGGAATTTTTCCTTGTGTTCATTGCTGCAGGGAAAAACAGGAATTTTTCCTCGTGTTCACTGTTGCAGGGAATAACGAGGATATTCCCTTGGGCCACAGGGCTGGTGGAGGTGGGCAAAAACTCTTGGGAATCAGGGCTGGTCCCTCCCCCCAGCTGATTTCCGATCCCGTTTCTAGGTAAATATTTGGCGGATAACTGATGGAAGCTTATGCAAGTCTATGGAAAATACTATGGAAAATACCCAAGGACTGCTGTGCGTGGAACGGGTTTTAATTACAGTTTAAGGAAAATGAACTAAATCCTGCACTTGGGACATTTCTGTTGGAAGTGTCGACAACTTTCAGCGTTTTTTTTCCTTGGAAAACACCGTCTTGACCAGTCCTCCAGTATTTACTTCTAGATGTAACATTGTTAATGGTTTTAAAATGTAATTATTGTATTTGTAAATTGTACTCATTCCAGTAAGGCTGTATTTTGGCAGTTAGACACTTGAGTTTTAGCATTTTCCCATTCATGAAATGGATGTAATTTAAACTGTGGTATATAAATCTAATAGTAGTACTGTTGAATGGCACAATGCTTACAGAGGTAGATTGCATTTTGTCAATATATACAATTTAAATACGATACCGGTAGCTGTTATGAAGGGGGTGCCTCAGCAAAAGAGAGTTCAGTAGAGCCCACAGGCTGATTTAATTTTCCTTCAGTCCTTAGTACGTCTCACAGCGATCAATAAAAAGCTCAACCTTCAGGTTCAGCTGGTCTAAGTCCAGAAAAATATTGATGGAAAAGTGGAGGTTCCTAGAAGAGTCTCCCAGGTAGAAAATCTCACTTCTGCAAGGAGCGTTTACTCCAAATTTCCAGCTCCATGCTCTGTCACAGCTGCAGATTCCCTGCTGGAATTTCAGCAGCTCTTCCCTGCCCCGTGTGTTTTGCAGGGGCATGGATGAGGAAGGAAGCACAGAGAGGCTGGGTGCTCGCTCTGAGCTCACAGCACCGGCATAAAACCAGTTTTATCCTTCCTTCCTTCCTTCCTTCCTTCCTTCCTTCCTTCCTTCCTTCCTTCCTTCCTTCCTTCCTTCCTCCTTCCTTCCTGCCTTCCTTCCTTCCTGC